ATTTATTTCATATATCTAGTTTTCGGATTGTGTTATTCTTGTTTTTATAAGTCATTGAGGTGTATCATTAGCTTGTTTCTTTGAGATATCTCTGATTTTTTTTAAATGTAGGCACTCATATATAACCCTCTCTTCGAACTGCCTTTGCTGTATCCCATAAATTCTGATAATGTTTTGTTAACATTTCAGATTCCAAGAATTTTTAAATCCATCTCCACAGTTTCTTCAATGATCCACTTATCACTCAAAAGTATCTCTTTCTTTTTTTTATTTTTTATTTTTTTTAAATTGTTTTTATTAGTTGCTCAAAACACTACAATGATGTTGACATATCATACATACATTTGATTCAAGTGGGGTATGAATTCTTTTTTTTTTCCACGTGTACAGATTGCAGTATCACATTGGTTTTACAGCCACGTTTATACATACAGCCATATTAGTGTCTATTGTATTCTGCTACCCTTCCTATTCCCCCTTCCCCTCCCTTCCCCTCCCATCACCTCTCTCTACCCACTCACTCTATGATACTTCTCTCTCTCTCTCTCTTTCTCTCTCTTCTTCCTCACACCATCTTATATGTAATTTTGCATAACAATGAGGGTCTCCTTCCATCTTCCATGCGATTCCCCTTCTCTCTCCCATTCCCATGCATCTCTCATCCCTATTTAATGGTAATCTTCTTCTCATGCTCTTCCTCCCTGCTCTGTTTTGAGTCGCCCCCCCTTATATCAAAGAAGACATTCGGCTCTTGCTCCTTAGGGATTGGCTAGCTTCATCAAAAGTAACTCTTTAACTGTTCATACATTTGTAAAATTTCTGTGTTTTTTCATTGTTGATTTTTAATTTCATTTCATTCTGATCTGAAAAGATGCAAGAGATTTAACAGCAAAGGTTTGTTTTTTGGCTTAATACATGATCACTTTTGGAGAAAGTTCCATGAGTTTCTGAAAAGAATGTGTATTAAGCTTTTTTCTATTAAATATTTTGTAGATTCTTGTTAAATTTATTTGGGCTATATTAAAGTTTAAATCTGATGTGTCTTTCTTGATTTTGTGCCAGAATGACTTGTTAGGGAGAATGGTGTAGTGAAGTATTCCACTATTATTGTATTGGGACCTGTCAGTCCCTTTGTATCAAGTAATGTTTGTTCTATGAAATTAAGTGCAGTGACATTTGGGGAATAAATCTTTATATTTTTGTTAGATTGTTTCCTTTACCAATGGTTTCCTTTATCAAATGTTTTGACATTGCTTGTCTCTTCTGACTATTTTTGGCATGAAGTCTGCTTTGTCTGTATATGGGATTAGCTAATCCTGCTTGGTTTGGGAGTCCATTTGCATGGGATATCAATTTGCATCCTTTCACTTTTCAGTCTCTAAACATTTTTGCCTATGAGATGTGTTTCTTGGGACAACATACAGTTGGGTCTTGTTTTTCAATTCATTATTCTATTTTATTTCTTTTATCTGGAGAATTAAGACCATTTGAACTTATTATAATGAATTAAGACCATTTGAACTTGTTATTATAGGGGTATGTGCTACCACATGTCATTTTGTTTCATTTCTCATATTTGAATCATTACTATTCCTTATTTGCTTATCTATTTTTCTAATGGGGTTTATTTTTTTCCCTGATGTCTTGGTTATTTTTATCTTCTTCTTCTGTATGTATCTTCTCCCTTAGATCATTCCTTGGAACTTTGATCATTGTTTTTCAATATTGTTTAGTTGTCACTGGATCTGTATTTTATTTATTTATAGGTGGTGCTGTAACTTGATCCCGGTGCCTCACACATGCTAGGCAAGCATTCTGCCACTGAGTTGCAACCCCACCCCAGAACTTTAATCATTTTAACAGTCAGCTTTTTGAATTTTTCCTGACATTTCTTCTGCTTCATTGTCTATGGGTTCAACTATTGGAAAGTTATAAAATTTTGGAGACTTGTTTCTATATTTCTGTTTTGATATTTGAATATCTGCCGGGCTAGATATATCTTCTACTGTTATGTCAGAGACTTTTTTTTTAGTGAGTTGCTTTATTATATGCCCTAGGCTGGGGGTAAATCTCAGCATAAAAGCAACTTCTCAACATATTCATGCTACTGTGATCAATCCCTAACCCTTCTTTGAGAAGACATAATAATCTTGAGTAATTGACCATTTGAGAGTAAACCATATGCTAATAATCCATAAAAACTTATAGAAAATGATCTTTGTAGCTCCACTCATCCAAAAGTGAAAATGGGAATAATACTATAGTAGGTTGTAAAGTTGGATATTGAAGAAAGTAAAATTAATATTTAACTTTGCTGAGTAGCTGATCTCTCACTGCTTTTACTCCAGACTGGAGGAGCTGGCATTTGTATAGCCTGCTTTTGATCCACCATCTTGATCTTTCAATCTCTGGAAATTTTTTAAATAAGAGCACTATTTTTAAATAACTACTGGGTATGGAATATATCTACAAAATATTAAAGTTTATAACATAAATACAATCATCTTTTTGAAATCTGAAATTAGTTCATGAAGAGATCTCAATGAAACAGAGTTTAGAAATTCAGACACACTGGAAATTTGGTTTATGACGAAGATGACTTCTGGAATCAGTGGAGAAAGTTGAGTTAATCAGGGGAAAGGACAACTAATTAATTATTTTTAAACAAAAATAATGTTGGATCTCTCTCAAGCCTTGTATAAAAAGGGAAAATGTTAATAATAAGAGAAACTGTGTGTGTGTGTGTGTATGTGTGTGTGTGTGTGTGTGGCAGAGGAGCAGATGGAAATAAGGGAGTGGGATTATATTGGAACTCCATACACTTCCTGCATAATTTTTTCATGAACCTGAAATTCATTTAGAAAATAGTTAAAAATTAAAAGTTAAAAATAAAAATTAGGTGAATTAAAAATTAAAAGTCAATTAGGAGAAAATAGAGAACAAAATAAATAACAACTTTGGCAGGCAATTTTGCAATCCATGAAATAAAATTAAAATTCAAAATAAAATAAATTTTATATATCCAAAATATGATTTAAAAATCTAATAAATTATAAACTTGTCATAAACATAGGGAACAGATAAAACAGATTAAAAATCAAATCAAAGGTTAGTATTTTCTTTGTTGCTTTTTATGAATGCCTAACAATGAAGAGGAAATAAGAAGTTAGAAAATAAACAGGAAGTTCAGAGAATAAGAAAATACAAAATTTTTGGAAAGATACTCAACCATACTCATTAATAAGAAACTAGAAAGTAATCAGTGTAAAATCCTATTTTTCAGCAATAAGTTTGGAAAAGATAAAAAAAAAAAAAACTTTGATACCTGTAACATCTACCTGACAAACTCACATATGCTATTTGGCAGAGGTTATTGACAACTACTTCAGAATAACATTTTCAATATAACAGTAAAATAGTGCATAAACTATGGTCAGCAGTTCTACTGGAAATACTTTGTATGTTCACACTCACAGTTATGCTTAAAACAGGTACAATGATATTTGTGGAATTTTTTATTTTAATTAACAAAAGACTGAATCCCACCTAATGTTGTATCAGTAAGATGTTTTTCATCTAACGTGCAGCTTTTACTAGAAATATCTATACTTTTATGTCATTTGTTGTCTTAGAATTTTATGGATCTCTAAATACCTGTATTTATTTCTGCCTTGTCTAGATTCCTTGACAAATGCAGATTCCCATCCTCTATCAAGATCCCACTAGTCTGTTTCATCTTTCCTTATCTTATTCTACACTGGTCTGAAAACACACAGGGATTCCAAGATGGATCCACTCCTTGCACCACTTCTTCTCTGCAAAAGTCATACATAAATCATGTCTCTTCAACAGAAATGATGGGTTCTCAAGGGAAAGTTTTAATTTATCTTTATTTGTTTTTCCATCTTGTAACCTAATACAAATCTGAGTAAAGAAAACTTGCTCATTAGGAATGATTAATTCTTCCTAAATACAAGCTGTATCCTATGGTGCTCATCTTCATATCATTACTACATATTAAGCCTTAGGAAAAATTGTCAAAAAAAAATATCTTTTGAGTTCGTCCTTGCTTTTCCTGACAAACTTTATTTTCTTATGTTTGTAAGGACAAGTGAGAGATCATACCTAAACTTGGTGTAACCATCTGAAGGAGATACAGGACAACAAAGTGTCTGCAGAAAAGTACCCTTGTAGTTTCCATTGCACCTGTGATAAAGAATGAGGCAAGTTCATAAATAATGATAACAGGAGTAAGAAGTTGCAGAATTCAAACACCTCCACATCTTTTCATAGTGCTTAACTCTCAAGTAAACTTGCCAGGTAAAATGTAGGGTATCCAGTTAGATTTTAATTTCAGATAAACAACAAGCAAATAAATAATAAGCAAGTATCAGCATTTCCTTTGTAGTATTTAGTATCCTCACATTTTGATTTGATAACTCTGGCAACCCAATCCTTAAGAATATGCAATATAATGAGTAGGCCCAGATTGACCTGTCTTTCCCACTCAAGGGTAAGTTTTTCCCAAGCTAGATGTCATTTGTCTTCTGGTTTTGTAGACTTCATTGAATGACCTGCTTTTTCAAAGTGACAGACCTAGGGAATAGAATCTTATCTCCTAAGCCTCTTTACTGTAAACATTTGTCACATGTAATTACATTTACTTACACAGAAAAGTATACCGACAAAGATTTAGCCTTATTATTAGGGGAGAACCGAGTGGCCGTTTCAGAAAGGAATATGGCTTTCTGAATTTTATCTTCATGGAGAACTTGTAATTAGAGATAGATGTGTGGACTCGTGTGGTCAATAAAGAGCAAAGGGGAAAATGAAATTGGCTTCCTCAATCAAATGTGAGGGCTTTTCATTCATATGATAGTTTGATTTTTGACTCAGCAGATAAATGTGATAGTTGTCAATGGGTACCTCAAAAACAAACAAAACCCAGCTTCCTAGGTGCCAGGATTTCAGAGAAGAGGGAAAAATAGCTGATGGCAACAATGTTGTGCAAATACCACCCTGTGTACACGGGCAGTTCTAGCAGCCTGGGAAAGCACTTCTCTCTGCAGCACAGTGACAAGGAGAAGGTCCACAGAGGCTTTACTAGTGAGGAGGTGCAACCTTGTGAAGAGCAAGGAGCTTTCTCAGGAAGCATGAGGCAACGAGGACCTCCATCAGATTCATACGAGGAAGCCTTGCTAAGCAAGAGGACTTGAGCAAAACCTAGTAAGACTGATGAGTGAGGCAGAGAGAAAATTATGAAGGCTCCACATACCAGGTTGATGAATTTAAGTTTTAACCTCTATGTAAGAGAATTGTAACAGTCTAAGCAGTCACGTGCATAGAGGTTAAAAGCAGGGTCTAAGAAAGGGACCAACTAAGTCAAGATTCTGCCCTTGTCATTTAGCTGTATGAGTTTAGGAAAATTACTAAAACTTTGTGTTTCCATTTTTCATCTGTTACAGGGGATGATGATTTCTTTCTCATTGTATTTATTGTTGGAATTAATGGAGTAATAATATCTAAAGTCACCAGAATAATACCTGATAACTACTATACTATAAAGTATAAGTACTGTAAAGAACTCAAGGACTATAAGTATTAATTTTCTTACCACTTTTAATATTGTTGAAATTTAGCAATATTTAAGAGAGATGAAAATGGAGAGCCTTGGAATCAGACTCACACCCTGGCTTTACTACTTAACAGTTACCTCAAGTTATTTGTGTAATTTCTGTACCTCTGTTTACTATCCAGAAAATACATAAGAGTATATATTTCACATACCTAAATTCATTGAATATAAGTGTTTAAGTTTTTAAAAAGTGGAGCATAAAAATGCTCAAAAATGTTATTTTTAGCTATCGATAAAGAACTTATAGTCATGGCACAGTACATACAGATTTACATATTTGAAGTGCGATTCTGAAGGCTGAGGAAGGAATGGAGGCAGTAACATCACGTGGCAAACAGAATGAATATTTCCGCCCAAACAGGTGTTGCTGGGGAAGAAACAAAAAGATCACCACTTAAGAGAGAGAATAACTGTACATACTCCTGGATTAAACTGAGGGAATAGCAGAGAAGTATTTTCACATGACTTCTGAACTTCTTGGATGTGTAACTTGGTGGCTAAATTATGTCATTAGTCATGATAAGACCCTTGGGAAGAAAAGCAATTAAATTTTGAACAGGTCAACTTTTAGATTTCTATGCAATTGTTTTTATTTACCCTAGTGAATTAATTATGAAACACACATTATTCTCTGCTACAATTGTTAAGGTACATGACTTGGCTAAAGATTTTTAGGATTTTTAATATAGGAATTATAGCTTCTCTTCAAAATATGTTGCAGAATCTTGTAGTGTGTCCAGCATATATTAGATATGCTGGCTGTCTCCTGTTTGCTTCCCCAGATACAATCTCCATTTTCTCCACATTTCTCTGTTTCTCACAAAATGAAACTAAGGATTATAGCAATTGGCTCTCTTTTCAGTGGCTTCTGGTGAAATAATAAGCAGATTACAGGAATGAAAGAGGATGACTTTGGAATATTTGCTCTCTCAGACTTTTCTGCTGGGTTGCTGTGTGAGCTATTTGTCCAATCATTAAGCAAGCAAACAAACAAAACCAAACATTAAACAAACAAAAAATCCTACCCCGTAGCCCTCTCTGCCCATAAGTTTTGGTTACTGCTTCCTGCCTTTACTTCCTCAGGTGTACGGGTGATCACAATCTCTTTATGTTAGCTCCAGGGTCCTGCTTTGCTCCTCCAAACTTCTCTACATCTTATTTGTACATTTGTAAATAAGCTTTTTAATTAATATTCCAGGAACTTGAGCATGTCATCCATTTCTTGTTGAAACCCTGGCTGGTAACAGGAATTGATATTGAATGTAGCTCCTAGAAAGAGATTCCCAACATGTGCTTCTGAAATTGGGTTTCTCATGCATGGGGGAAGGCACAGCTGACCCTACTGAAAGGAATGGAAAAAAAATCTATAGCATGCCACAGCACCAGACTTATTCAAATTATGAATATTGGTGGTATAGGATCAAGTGCAGGTGGTGAAGAAGGCACAAGGAAGGAAAGAAAATAACATGGTTGGTATGGTCAAAAAGTAATTATAAAGACTACAAAGTTCTCTATCTTCTTAGGACTGTCCTATAAGATGGACCTGATGAAAAGGAAAATTTAAAAGCAATGAATCCACAGTTGAGAACCAGGGGGTCTCCATCCTAATTCTGGAAAAGCTCATTTTTCTCTAATTATAAGAGATGGAAATGAGAATTGAATCCAAGGTCTAATTTTAAGGGTTTCAGAATTGGAGTAATAATTAAATGCTCCATTTATAAAAAAGTCTCTTCAGCTAATTTAAAGACACTCTAAGGCAGCCTAAAATGCTGAGACATGGGAAAAGGGGATTTGGGCACAGAGGGACAGGGCCATGCACAGGATTAACAATATGGATATCCTTGCATTTAGGATTTATTTAGCTATCACCCCTGAATGTTCAACTTATTATTTCAGGAGACTAGCTTAAGCTGAACTGGTGGCTAGCTATCATAAAGGAAATGTTATTTTATACTCAAGGGGTGGATACTGACTCTATCTATCATTGGATGTGAGTTCCCGACTGGTAGCACTTCATTGTGCACAGATACTCATACACATAAAAAACGCCTTTTCCTTTTCTTTTTTTTAATCACATGCAACATTGTCTCTGACCAGGAAATTCATTTTACAGCAAAGGAAGTCCACCAATGTGCTCAGGACCATGAGATTCACCAGTCTTACCATGTACCCATGACCTAGATATAGCTGATTTGATAGAATCTGATAAAGGCTTAGGTGTAACACTAGCCCTAGAACATGTGGGATTCGCTTAAACTAGAGGATAACTGATTGTGACTTCTCTCTATAGCAGAATGCAAGGTCCTAGAAACCAAGGAGTAGATATGGAAGATGATCCTCTCATTATGTGACCTTATAACCTACTTAAAAAAATGTTTACTTCCCCTCTTATAGTCTTCAATTCAGTGTGTTTGGAGGTCCCGGGATCTCACAGAGGAAGGTTTTCACTATATGACACAATTATGAATGAGATGAATTAGAAGCTGAGACTTTCCCCTAACCACCTGGAGCTTCTCACACCACTTAACCAAGAATCAGAAAAGTGCATCACTGCAGGACTGGAGAGACTGATCCAGGGTCAGAGGTGACTTGACCAATACTCCTGGTCCTTAGAGACGTGAAGTTACCCAATAAGAGTAGCGAAATCAAGGGCTCAGATCCATAGAAATAAATCTCTGAAGGACCCTACTAGGTTAAGAACCTAGCTAAGGTGCTGATTAAAGGCAAGTATTACACAGAGCAAGCAATGGAGGAAGAAGGTACTACAACTACCATGTTTATATTTTTGCAACGAGTTGACTTAATAATAACTATGTTCTGTATTTTTAATCATAAAATTTTTGCCTATTTTTCTTCCAAGATACTTCACAGGTGTGACATTGCTGATGACAGACTATGTTTCATGCAGGAAGTGTGACCAAATTAATATTACCTATTAATTACAGGATATGGTACCTTATAGGATTGAAGTTTCCCCATAGTAATTATGCAAACATATTCCACAGCTGAAGGACAAGACTAGACTGAGGACAAAACTCTTGCTAAGAGGCAAAGATTACTGAGGTGCTCATCTTACTTTGTCTATCTACATCTACTCTGCAGTTCTCCAAAGATAATTTTAAAAACAATTTTTTAAAAAGCCAAATATATATTGTACCTTTATTTTATTTATTTATATATGGTGCTTAGAATCAAACGCAGTGCCTCACACATGCTAGGCAAGTGCTCTATCATTGAACCAAAACCCCAGCCCCAAGCATTGATCTTAATATAGAAAATATTGTCCTTTGGAATATTGCTATAATGAACCCCAAATGTTTACCATACACTTCTGGTATCCCTTCATATAAGATTTTATTCACTTTAAAATTATGTATGAAACACTTGAGAGTCTTTTGTGGGGAATACCACTGGTATTTTAAAACATTCTCCCAGATGATTTCATTTACTACTGAAGTTGAAAACTATCTTTTTATGGGTAATGGATATTTCTGATTTGCCCTTAAGATTTTTCAGGGCTTTTATGAGAGGGAGAGTAACAGTGTTTTTTCAACTGGGTCTTTAGAAATTAATTTAAAATTCTGTTTTTTCTAATGTTCTCTGAATATGATTATGCTTTAATTATGTGTGGAACTGCAATGTTATGAAAATACATACTTCATCTTGCAAATGAGAAGTGGTTTCATGTGTTGTTATCTCCACCTATTATATAAGTCAATGAGAATACATTCTTTCACTGTTTACCTAGTCAGATATGGGAAAACCCAACAAAGTAAGAGCATTTACATGAACTTCAAAAGTTTTTTTTTCCCCATCCAGCCCCTATGTATAATTTTTAAAATTAGTGCATATGGATATGTGTGTGTGTGTGTGTGTGTGTGTGTATATATGTTAAATTAACTGTTGATATATTCATATATATGGAAAGTTTGGACAATTTCATTTTACCATTTCTCCCTCCTTGATCTCTTCTATTTTCATGAAATTCTACCCATTTTTCTTTTTTCTTTCTTTTTTCCCACTTATTGTGGTCTAGTTTTTCCATGTGAGAGAAAACATTTGACCCTTGAACATTCTTGGGTCTGGCTTATCTCACTTAGAATGCTATTCTCCAGTTCTATTTTTTTTTTAATCAGCAAATGCCATAATTTTATTCCTCTTTATATCTGAGTAAAACTCCATTGTGTGTGTGTGTATGTGTGTGTATATGTATGTATGTATGTATATGTATAGATAGATAGATAGATAGATAGATAGATAGATAGATAGATAGATCTTTCCTAAGAATCTCTCTTTCATAGCCTCTAGTCTTACTTATTCTTGGGGGCTAACACAAGAGTATATCTTAAGTTAAATTTAACTATTATTTTTCTTTTAAATTCCCAGGAATGGCCGTGTTTTGGTTTTAACTGTTTTTGCTAGGTGTTTAAGATGAAGCAGGTCAAACTGACTTTTGTTTCTATATATTGTTAAGAGTCAGTTGAACCAACAATAAAAATTAAAAAATAAAAATAAAAATAAAGGGTCAGTTGAGTTCTCAATGGAGTCACTTGTAGGGGAACTTGAG